TGTGAATTTTTTGCAATTTCCCCCTTTTTTTACTATTATTGTTGCTGTTGTTATATGTGATGCGGCTCTATTTGCTACTGTCTTGACTGCTATGTGTTGCCGGCATTTAGTCGTCACGTAAACTCAACAACCAAGGCATACAAGCGAAGGTACTGAGCTGCCTGCTATGTTCTATTTGTTTGCGGTCTTAACTCAGCGTACAAGCACACACGTTCGCACATAAGTATGTGCGTGTATGAATGTGTGCGTGTTGCCCAGCGCTGCAATTACCCTCATATATAACTGGTAAAAATGTAGTCTTACACACACTATAAATTCGGAGGCAGTCATGCAAGCTTTACTGTCATGCACAACATACCGTTAGATGCAGCGAGAAACAAAAAATAAATAAAAAATTAACAAAAAACAATCCAAAAAATAAAGAAAAATCCGACATGAGGGAAAATTGTCAAACCCATATTGAAAATATATACATATGTATGTATACATAATAGTTCAATTGGCTGTCAGCGAAAATGAGCGGAAGAGTGAAGAAAATTATAAGTAGTTTTAAAATTTTTAACGAAAAAAAATTACATAAAAATATATACAATTTTTGCAATTTTTTTTAACAATCTGTCATTTTCAAAGACACAGCAAATTAAAGCGTTAAAAAATAAAGACGAATTGTGACATATTCCAGCTTTAAATGTTAAAACTTAATTTAATATAAATTTACCGAAAATGAAACCACTAGTTTTACGGAATTATATAATAGCAAAATGGTTTTTATGACATGACAGCTGACAGCTAATAAAGACTACATGTTCTAGTTCATACGTGAAAAAAGATGCATATTAAACCACTAACTATCGTAAAATTATTTTGGGTTAGCTAATCTCAAGCGAATTAGTTTTATTACATGACACATGTCACTTGACAGTAATGAAAAGCTGTCATATCAGTGTACAAGTATATACTGATACTAGAAAATATTAAAGTTAGGCCAGAGAATGTCAAACGACTATCTCACGTTACAAAAAATTAAATTCAAGCGAAATTTTGACAGATATCACGTAACAATTCACTTAACAATTGACAGCTGACAAGTTTTCCCATGTATGCTTATCACAAATCGGAATCTGAAGGATCAAAGGTAACATATAAATGATTATCATATATTATATTATGAGGTGTCACAAGTGAAAAATTAAAAATTATTGATGACAGTTGACAAATGACAAAGGAGAGGTAGCATACGAGTATAAAAATAAGCCTCAGAAACTTCTAAAAAAACTTGGTTTAAACCTCGGACAAGAAAGTTTTTCGAACACATATTTGATTACTTAGCGTAAAATTGTCAGGATTTTTAGACTTTTTTTTCTTTTGGAGTTACCAGCTAACTAAAATTTAAAACCGAAAATCTAACGAAATATATGTATGTTAAACATCAAGCGGAGAGGAAAACCTTTCGGAAATCATCCGGTTACGCTCTAATTTAAAAATGGCATACTGTTATCAATGATCCAAAAAATTTAAAAAAATGGACGTAGAGTTGCCGGCAGTCTAGAAGAAATGAAATGAAAAATTTATAAAATATTTGTTAATCATAAAGCGTTTCCCAAGTCTTTCGAAAAGCAGTCGATTACTCTTTATTTAAACATACTTTGCCATCGAAAGTTGGAAGGTTCGATAAAAAATAAAACGAAAAAATATTGCGAAACGTCTGTTAAATATTAGTTGTTCAAAAGATCCTTCTGGAAACCGTTTAAGTATTTTTTGAATTAAACATATTTATACATGGAGTTGTCAAATACCTAAAAAAAGTAGAATATTACGAAATATGTCTTAAACGTAAGGCGCTTGAAAAATATTTCGAAAACTACTCGAGTATTCTTTAAGATATACATACTTTGACATAGAGTTGCCTACTATTGATAAAAAATTTAAAAATTATTGCGACATGTCTGTCAAACAAAAGGCGTTCAAAAAGTCTTTTGGAGATCATCTGTATAGTCGTAAATTTAGACATATTTTGACATAGAGTTGCCGGCTATCCAAAAAAAAACGCAAATATTGCGAAATATATGTTAAACATAAGTCGATCTCCCGGTAAATATTTTATTTAAACATATTTGAGACAGAGTTACCATCTGCCAAAAAAAAATTATTTCAAATATAAATTCTATAATGTTGATTATATAAGAATTATGATGTTTGTTATTTAAAAACAAATTTTGCTGGTACAATTTCTTCAATCAAACAACTTGGTCACTACTTTTCGTTCTCTGGATTGCATTATACCATAAAGTTGATGCTGAATAAAGGAGATCTCTAACATATTATATATTACATACATATGTATTAATCTAGCAGTTTTATATAATACACATGGTATGTAGTTTCTACACTCTTCGCAAATATCTAACAGCTATATATAATCATACATGTCCATATGCAAATATTAGCATAAAAGTGTGATATGTGACTTTGTGACACACAATTTTAGACTTTCTAATGGTGTGACGTCTAACAAGCAGCTATAAAAAGTGAAAAATTTATTTTACTACATTAGATGCGAGAAATGTGTCGTAAAAGCTAAAGTTTGCTGCCTCAACTTATTAAATTTCAGAAGCAGTTACGTATGTTAAACTCAAATATGGATTATTACATTTTGGTTGCAATATTCAGGTTATGTAAGTGCTCAAGTATAAGTATATAGAAAGCAAGCGTAATATTGGCAAAAAATTAATTAAGCACTGCAAATAATATAATAAAAGAAAAATATAAAAGCATATGAGTGCTATTCTAGTAAGGTCTACTGGCCTCTTTTCACACACTTCATGTATGTAACCTGAAATATTGAGCACTTGAGGCTATACATATATACAAGGTTTGTATTTATTTATAAAATTTGTTATTTGAGGCTCTAAAAATGATTTTGGAGAGGAAGCTGACATATAAAAGTTATAAAAACTGGGTCTTTAAATATGTCGCGCTCTGAGTGATAATTTGGCTATTTGAACTTCAAAAATTACAAATTAGACCTGAACACTTATTAAATATTGCATTCGTAGCAAAAATAGTTTTCCGAGCCAGTAACGATTTCAGTAGATACGACGTCGTTGCCATCCCGCTTTGAGGCTCTGATTCGTTGATCAGCAACATAACCTATAATGTTGAAAAATGTGCATAACAAACATCGTTAAGGGGTTGTCTGAAAGTTTTATAAGGAACAACCATTAAACACAAAAATTAAGAAGAAGAATTTCAATTCCCTACATTTTCACTTACCCGTTGCAGCTATACCTTTGTTAGGTATTTTACAAGGACAAGTGGCGCTTGTGTCGACTACAGCATTGTCTACCACAACAGTTAATGGTGCTGACTCGCTTTCTGCATTGCACCGCTGACATTGTTGCTGGAAAACACTCGATTGCTGCTTACAAAATGTACAGTGGGTTTCAAGTGTTTAATGGCTTTCGATTGTTGTGCATTTAACTAGTAAATACATATTTATAGATGTATATAATAATATAAGTTATGTAATTAGGTGATATTTGTAAGCAGGGTTACCATATTTTGCTATTTGTTTACGTTGAAAATATAATAATCTAAATGTATACATACATAATTGTTTATAACTAGGAAATATTTGTAAGCAGTGTTGCCACCTGTATCGATTTTTTTTTATTTAATGCTTTACAAAAATTAACAAATATATATAGGTATATATATATGATAATTTAATTAATGCTAACGAAAGAGGTTTTAAATCTTTTGTGGTGGTGTCTTAATAACTTGCCTAACTTAATCTCAATTGCGGTTCAATCTAAGCTTCCAAAACTCTTACCAAACAATAATTAAGGCTCAGCACAAACAAAGCAGATGTTAAATATCAATTGCGCCTCCAATCCGCTTTTCTTTTTATTTGATTGATATTATCCGATAGATTCTGTCGCGCTTAAAAATAGCTTCTAAAGGCAAGATAATAAGTTTAGGAGAGAAGATTAGAGTTTTAAATTTATTTTAGTACAGAAATTACTAGAGGGTTAACTGTCAAGTATAAAATCTTCTGGAGGGATAGCTGCTATAACCAATTTGTTTTATCATGCAAAGGTTGAAAAGCAAAAATTTATGTACTTTTAATGAGTAAAAACTTGAACCTCTTTGGATGCAGGCATCCAAAATAAAAATATTTCATGGTTTGGTGGAAGCCACATTATTAAAGCCAAAATATTGAGCTTTTTATTTTACTCTGCATTATTTGGAAAAAAAATGCTGTAGTCCTCTAAAAAACACCCTTTATATATATTATTATATACATAAATTGTTTAATATATGAATTATTGCATTTAGGCATGAAATAATTATTTCACACTACACAAAATAGCAAATTCTTTGAATAAAAGCAGTTTTTATTTAAATGAAAAGTTCACAGCAATTCTATGAAAGCGATTGATAAACAATATTTTGCGCTTGTAAAATAACAATAAATACACTTGTTTGTTGCAATAAAGCGCAGAGAATTGTGCGCCACTAGAGCTCAAATGAAATTAGTGTTTTATTAAACGTTTTTGTGTACGAATGTTAAGCGAGTGGTTGAAGAAATACAATATTTAATTAAATTTCAAAATTAAATAAAAAATATGGTTTATTTTATTTAATTAAAAGTAAAACTAACATAATATAAAAAATTCAAAAAACAAAATTTACAGTAAATATTATATTATATATATTAAAAAAAATATAAAAATGTATATATATATTTCAATTCAGATAAAAAATTAAATAAATAAAAACATGCATATATAAAAAAATTAAAAAATAAAAATAAATAAAAAACATACATAAAAAATTAATCAGAAAACAATTTAAAGATGACGCGAGTCCAATTATATACAGCATTGCTTTTATTTGCACTTCACTGCCATTTGGCACATGCCGTTGTCACATATCAACAATGCGCTGATATGCATACGAAGACATTGTGTGTTTGTAAGCATGACTTAGATGCGACAATGCGAATTGTATGCACACTAAATACAACCATTGATAACAAAAACAAAAACAACAACAACCAGAGCGCTACTACATTAACAATACATATCTACAGAAGCGAACAGGTGCGCGTATACTGTCGCGGCTACGAGAATGGGAGCGCCGAAAGTGAGCGCTTATTTGCGATGCTACCCTCACTGCCCATCGGACCAGATTTGATGCTGGTTTTGGTTAGCGGTTGCTATAATTTCGATATCATTTTGCGGCGCTTCAATATACGTCATGTGAGATTGTTGGAATTAAGCGCTGATACAACAATTACAGGCGCAAAGCTAACGCGTCAGCAAATACCCAAAGCGCTGCTGGTGGATAGTTTAACGCTCACTGCTTACACACAACTAGCAGCTGATCTATTCGCTGATTATAAGCAATTACGATTTCTTGAAATACAAACAACACAACTGCTGGATTTGCCGCTGACTGTTTTGCAATCGCTACCAAATTTGATTGGGCTGACGCTGAAAGCGCGCATCACACAGCCAGCGCCACTGCAGTTGTTGCGCGCGCAAAACCGTTTATTAAATACCGTGTTAAGCGATGGCGCGATACAGAGTCTGGCGACAGCAAATTTCAGCCACTTAACACAATTGCAGTCGCTACATTTGCCACGCAATAATCTCAGCTATGTGCCCGCGCAGGCATTCGTGCTGCTCACCGAATTGCTGCGCATTAATTTGAGTGAGAATCGTTTCCGCACGCTGAACGCTACAATATTTTCGCAACAACTGAAGCTTGTTGCCATCGATTTGAGTGACAATCAATTGCAGACGCTGCCAATGGATTTGTTTGCGCGCACGCAACGCTTACAAGAGCTACGCCTGTCGCATAATCAACTGCAGCACATACCCAATGCATTGTTCGCGCCGCTGAACTACCTAAAGTCACTGTATTTGAATAATAATCAACTAATAAACTTACAACCAGATACTTTCTCTCATAATGGAGAGCTACAGAAACTACATTTGCAATACAATCAACTTGAAATATCCGAGCCGGCGATGTGTACAACCTTTGCGGCATTAAAAAATTTAGCTGAATTGTTTTTAAGCAATAACCTGCTGACACATATTTGCGAGCAGCCAAGCAGCAAGAACAAGGGGCACATTGATATGTCACACAATCAAATTGAGATTTTGCGCGCGCCTGGTATGGTCGCGCTTGCCTGCAGCTGGGCGCGTGTAGATCTGTCATACAACGCGCTGCAAAGTATTTTATTACCAACACGCCTTCATAGCAACAAGTCGTTAGCGGCGCTTAAGTGTCAAAGCACACTAGCGCTAAATCACAACGCGCTGCACTGCGACTGCAATTTGTTAAACTTTGTGCTAAGCAAACATGCAGGCTTTCTAAGCGCGTTAACGCAACTAAATACGTCAAACCTGTACTGTGGAACGCCAACACAACTGCGTACGCGCCCAATTGATACATTGCGGGCAGATGAACTTTTGTGTCCAGTAGCTGCGCAGTATTGTCCCAGTAATTGTAGTTGCTGGGCACGCACTTATGACGCAACGTTTATTGTCAACTGTACACAAGCACGCCTGCAAGCAGTGCCCACGCTGTCCACGGTGTTGAATACAACGCTTACGGCGATCGAGCTGCATTTAACAGACAATATTATTAACACGCTGCCAATAAATTCAACTGTTGGTTATGCACTTGTGACGCGCTTATATCTTGCAGGCAATCGACTGCGCGTTATTGAAGCGTCGCAACTGCCCGCGCAGCTGATAAGCCTCGATGTGCGCCACAATAACTTAACACAACTTCGGAACAGTTTTTATACGCTACTCAATTCAAGCACAATATTAAATGAGATTTATTTGTCGCATAATAATTGGTCATGCGATTGCGCCGCCGAGCAGCTGCTCATCACGGCTAAGGTACATCATAAACGCATACGCGATCTGGATGAGCTCAGGTGCGCGGATGCGCGTTATGGCAAAATACTCGAGCTTGCTTTCAACGATATCTGCCCAACAGATATGAGTATGCTATTTGTGAGCATAAGTTTATTAGCGGCTGCTCTCACGCTAGCTGTTGTCAGCGCGCTTTATTTCAGATATCAACTTGAGTTCAAAGTGTGGCTGTACGCGCATAACGCTTGCCTTTGGTGCGTAACAGAGCATGAATTGGATAAGGACAAGCCATTTGACGCATTCATCTCATATTCGCACAAAGATGAGCATTTCGTTGTGCATGAGCTATTACCAGGCTTAGAACAGGGCGACATACCGTTTCGTGTGTGCACACATGAGCGCAATTGGCTTGCTGGCGCTTACATACCGGAGCAAATAATCGAATCGGTTGAGCAATCGCGTCGCACCATAATTGTATTATCACAACATTTTATTGAATCGCCATGGGCGCGCATGGAATTTCGCACAGCACATCAAAGCGCTTTGAACGAACGTCGCACACGAATAATTATTATTATGTATGGTGAGGTAACGCATATGGACACGCTGGATAAAGAGCTGCAAGCTTATTTGAAAATGAATACCTATTTGAAGTGGAATGATCCCTGGTTCTGGCGCAAATTGCGTTACGCTATGCCGTTTAGGCGTCCTTATGCGCATGATGAGGCGGACGCGCCACGTTTTGTTTACAGCGCAATGGAATTGAAGGAGTTGAGTGGGCGTGCGCGCGTCGCAAGGCAAGTTTAAATTTCTATGAATATGTAGATACTACACTAATGCTGTATTTTTTATGTAAATATAATATATTATAAATTTAATGTACTTTGTTTTATTAATATACAATAGTTATAATAAATAACACCTTCTAACCTTTTTTAAATTATAGAAATTAATCTGGTCTTAACTCTCTGCGTGGATCATATGATCATATCTGCTATTAGCTGATGTTATCTCATGATCTTTGTTCGATTATTCTTTTTCCGTTCTAACTCGCCTCCCGAACTCTCTTTGTGTGTGATCAGTGCCGTTTCACACAGGGACTCAAAAGAGTCTCATACCAGTTTATTGTGGGCGAGGGGACGACGAGGAAAGACGAAGGGACCGTGCTACTCGTGTTCGGGTGGCACGCTTTGTGTTCTTGTTCGTAACAGCTCGCTGCTACCCTTTTCAGCATTCCTTTCCACTTTCAAATTCTTTGAATGGTTGCAAGAGCGCTCGGTTTCAAATGAATTCGATCGCAAATTTGAGTTCTGTTATCTATTTTTGTATGTAATATGCAAATACGTATGCATAGAATAATAGAAATATTATAACAAATTGTAAATAAGGAGAAAATTAAGATATAGATTATGGAGTAAAGAAATTATGAATTTTTAATACGGAGTAAAGAAATTATGAGTTTTTAATACTTAAAGATTAGGAAATTCCAATTATAAATTTGGCCTTGAAAAGATTAGTAGCGGATATTCAATACATTCTTGTGGATTAGGGAATTCCCGTCTTTAGTATTTCTTTGAAACTATTTAGCGGGTAGGTACTTGTATTATGCATATTGTTCTACCATATTCATTGTAATTCATTGCAAGCAAAATGTGTGACCATCATCTCAACATACAAGTGAAATACGCAGCACGCAGTGTTGCGCAGTCGAACCGCACAAATATTTACGAAAATTTTATGAAAAGGAATGCAGAAAAACTAGACTCGAGTTGCTGGACTCTTTTTGACCGTGTGAATGCTCTTTTTGACCGTGTGAGCGACACCAAAAGAAAATTTGAAAAACATCAGACTCTTTTGAATCCCTGTGTGAAACGGCACTGATATGATTTGATCTGCTCTTCTTTATGTGGACATAGAAACTTTCTGCTCTCTCTTTGTATGATCACAGGTTTTGATCTGTTGCTTACTCTCTCTGCATGGGATTATATAATTGATCTACTACTAACTGATCATATCTCATAACCTTTTTCCTTTCTATCCTCTTTACGTTCTAACTCTTCTCTCTGTGCATGATCATCGAACGCATTTTGGTTTCTTTGATAGAAGTTCTTTTAACCTATAATTTTATTAAAATTTTAGGAAATCATATAAAAATAACAACCTTACTGTATAAAAACTTTTTTAATCTTAATTTGTTACATACTCTAAACCAACTCCATCTTTTCTGGTTTGACAAGAATAATATAGACTTTTCCTAGGAAATGCGTATGCAAATTAATTTGTTTTGTAAACACTGCTGCTAGTTATACTTTCGTGAAATACAGTTACGATAGTGAGTTTGATTCGAGAATTATGATGAACTTTGTGGGCATAATAATGTGTCAGATCCTTCAACGGGTGAAATTAACGGCTTGTATAACCGGAAATTGTGCCTCTTCATCTCCAGTTTTTCCTATCCGATCGTTCAGTTATATGGCAGCTATATGCTATAATCATCCGATCTATACAGTTTCTTCGGAGATTGCTTTATTTCCTGAAATAAGAATTCATGCCAAATTTCGTGCAGATATCTCCTTAAATGAAAAGTTTTCCATACAAATATTTGATTCCGATCATTTAGTTTGTATGGCAGTTATATACTATAGTGATCCGATCTAAACAAATTCTTTGGAGATTCCATTGTTGACTTAGAAAATAACTCATACCAAATTTCAGGAAGATATTACGTCAAATAAAAAAGTTTCGCATACAAGTACTTGATTCCGATTGTTCAGTTTGCGTGGCCGCTATATGATATAATGGTCTGATATCGGCCGTTCCGACAAATGAGCAACTTCTTAGTAATAAAAGGACAGGTTAAAAACTGAGAGACTAGTTTGCATATATACAGACTGGCGGACAGACAGACGGACATGGCCAAATCCAACGTTTCCGTGTGGGTGTTACAAGCTTCGTGGCACACTTAATATACCCTGTTCAGAGTATAATTAAGTCATTAACGTGTTATATAATGACTTGTTTTCTAGCTCAATTGGATTATGGCAGTCTATTTGATTTATACTATCTGCTTGTTCGATTCATCACTATGCAAATATGTGAACAATCAAAAATAGCTTCAACTTAAGGGTTCAAGTTATTGTGAATTAAAAACAATTTTTTTTTTTTGGCCTATCAGTACCTGTATGCATATGTACAATAGTAATAATATATATACTTGGATATATATATATATTTTGGTTTTGATTTGAGATAATTTTAAGCAGAAAAAACTTCCTTATCGCCAGACACCTTCTTTAGGATGTCTTTCTGGCGATTGGCTACAGGATAAGAGGAATCCAAAATTGTTTAAATTGAATAGCCATTTAAAATATATGTTAATATAAAATTTTTTTTATTGATTAGTTAAATTAATAGAATTTCTCTTCAAAATAATGTACAAAAAACGCATTCCGATTGCAAATGGATATAACCCCTTTAAACGCAAAAAATAAAAAAGTTTAACTCACCACTGTACAACTCAATTCCAAACTCTTGCAAAAGCAGTCGATTTGCCGTTTCTGTTGGCGCACATCAAGTAGCGGACACTGTATTTGTCTCGTTTCCACCTGCAGCATGACTTCAAATCACTTTGCCACAAATTACCTGTTTTTTAGCCACAAGCGTCCACATATACTACATATGTACATAGATATCCATATGTAAGTAAATCAGCTGTATTATTTGTCATTGTTATTGCTGCGTTGCACATTTGCCTGCTTTACTGCTGCTTACTTTTATCTTTGGCTGCAAAATGTGCAATGCAACTTTGGATTGGCGGCGAATTTAGGTCAAACGCTTGCTTTGCCACTCTGAAAGCCTGCTTTGGCGTCTAGGGCAAGTTCCTAGAATGGTTCGTTTGTTCGTTGCGTATTCGTTTCAATCGTGTTTCGCTCGTTTATTTCTACATATGTTACTCGTGGGTGTGTGTATTCCTCGGCTTATCACAGCTGCCACTGAACTCGAGTGGAGTTTATGAGTTTTTTTTTAGAGTTTTTAGTTCGTATATACGATAAAGTTCGGATTTGCTTATATTTTGTTGTGGCCAAAGCAGTCATTAAAGTCAGGGATCTCTCTGATTGAAGTCATCTAGACCAGTATGAATCGTGAGAGATTAAAGAATGGCAGAAGTAGAACGAGAGAAAGTTTAGTCTTATCATTTCTTCTACAGTCAGTTTGACAGCAAAATTCAGTAGTTCGTGACGTCATAAAGTAAAAGTAGTTGCTTACAATTACAATGAAGATTTAACACTAATGTATATATGCCCTTCTTTCGCCTATGACATAGGAAACGAAATTTGAGAAGTCTATTGTTTTGGCAAGAGCTGCATTAATATCTAAAAAACTAAAATTATTAAAAATTTAAGCAATTAAGGGTCAGTTTATAATTTTCCAAAAATATAGTACATTTTATCGTCCTAAAGTACACTTTCTGATTTCTGACACCAAAAACATTATTCAATTGGTAGAATAGTAAAAATAAAAGTTTTTTTGTTCAATGGAAGAGTTTGGGTCTGTCAACTTCAACATGTACAACTTTAAACGCCTTTTTCTTGGATCTGCATTTTGCAAATCGGGCCACGATGTTACCCGGTATTTTAACTGTAACTTCAGATTAACAATTTTTAGTAAATAACGTACGGTATTTCTCATTATTGAACTTTCTTTTAGAAACAATTTACTATTCATTTCTTCGGTAAAAAAACTTAACAATTTTTGACAAGACCACCATTTTTAGAAAAATTTATGCAAAGCTAGAGCCGGTTCTTATTTTTTTTTTTCAAACAACAGGTGTTTCTAGAATCAACGTCGGATCAACAAGGTGTTCACGAAAATTGGCCCAATAGCCGTCATTTTATATCAAAATTTCTATAAAAAAAAATTGTATATACACTCAAATAGATGCTTAATGAAGCCAGAAAGAAAAAATTCATTTATAGTTACTCCCAGAATAAATTGTCAAAACTATACTTTTTGGGGCTCAAGACTCGGTTAAGCTGGGTTAAATTCTCAATAAGAAGACACAAATCCAACTATACATATTGTTTATTAAAAATATTTTTTGGGAAAGACATAATATTATACTAAGAAATGACATCGGCAAATATAGCTAAAAAGCTACCTTCTTAAAGAAATGCAATCAGGGAAAAATAATACTAATTCCTAACAATTGGACGATGATGGTAATAAGCTGTAAGTCATTGCATATGGTTCTAAAGATCCTGATCAAATATTTTAGCTTATGCGAGGGCCATATCAAGGCAGTGAATTTAGTTTCAGATTTAGAGTATATGCCCCTGGAAGCTTTGTCAAATAGAAAAATGTTGAAACTAATCCCAATTCTAAGTCCTAAAACCAAATAGTCAGTGATACAATATCTAGCAAAATTAATATGTAAAATATTAGAAATATGAGTTTATGACAAACCTCTGAAGCCTCTCCCAGATTAGAGTGTTAGAGATCGCTATATAGCAAGCTGTAAGCTTCAACTGCGATTATCTGATTATACTGCATAGAGTCGACCGAGTATTATAAGAATAATTCAGAAGTGGTTAGTTTGGCTCTCAGCGTTCTTATTACTGAATTTTTCTCCGCTTTCGGCGATCGTATTAATCAAAATCTACAAGAGACTACAGACAAAGAATCTGAAAAATTTATAATATACTTACATATTTTCGCAAAGCACTCCTCTTCCGCAGATACAAGTTTTTTTGAGACGACCAACGCTGGTACATGGTGCCAGAACTTTGTGTCATGAAGAAATATAAGGTGTCTGTGACGAACTAGACTAGACTAGACATTTGGTCATTGGGTGAAGCAGTAGATGCTGGGAGCTATCAGAAGGTCGATTTGA